AAAGTTGCTGGAAATATTATCATCAGCCTTTTCTTCTTTTTTCTCTCTCTCTCTCTCTCTCTCGTCCACTCGTGATCGTGAAAAAAAAGTCAAAATTTAAAACCGTATTATTAGGAATAGTAACAGAACGAATAATTCTGTGTAAACTGGAGTATTACTATTTGTTCTTATCGCACACTTTCGTTGCGTTGTCACTTGAACCTTTTTCTCTCCCGCGATCTGGTATCGTTGTGCAGTAATTGGTAATGTAAAACGGAAAGAAAGAAATATTCTTTACGTAACGGTCCGATTAACTTGGAATATATTGTAAAATGTTAAGTTGATCAATAAGCAATGGGGTTGGAAGTGATATCATTTTTGATTCAGCGTACGCAACGTTGATATAAGAAGACAGAGGAGAAATATTATTGCAAAAAGCGACGAGAACATACAGATAAATTGAACCAGACAGAAAGCTTTTGCACGTGTAAACATTATAATGGGTGCACGCAAGATGTATGCTCGTTCGATATTTAAGAAAACAACTTGAAGCACTTGTACAGCTGTCAATAATACGAGAAATGATAACAAATTGTATCATCATTAACTGAGAGCACTTTCATTGATTATGAAAGCGGCTTCGCTGTGAAGTGTTGCATTAAGTAACACCGCCATCGTTTGTTGATTGCATCCCTTGAGAATAACAGGAAGATTTCTGGATAATTTACAATAGTCGTAAATAAATAATTTATAACATCTGTTAAGAGCGAAGGGGCGAAACGCGTGAAATTCACGCAAATAACCACCATCTTCAAAGGAATATATCGTGTGCCAAAATTCGTTATGGACCGATGACAAAAATACCTCTAAACAAATGAATCGTAAAGATTAGAAGATGTACCGTTCGATTAAGTAACGATCTCGTCCTAGATACGACTGGAAAAAACTATTTCTGAGTCAAATCAAACGTTATACCATGTCGCTGAATATTACAAGCGCAAAAATTAATAATTGATTTCGTTGAATAAATGCCAATATTCCGTGAACTCCGAATGTTCTGGCTTATTAGTCAAATCATGTGTAATGAATAGAGCGTCTTTCCTTTGACGAATAAAAAGCTTCATACCGTTTAACACTTCAAGGCTGTTCCCAACATTGTTTTACGCATAAATAATCGTCGATATGCTAATTTTACGAAAATGCTACGTTATTTTTTACACATATACAATTTATCACTTTTCCCGGCTATTATTCAAGTAACATCTGAACTAATCTAATGGAGATATAAAGTCTTTATGCGCTCTCCTGTGTGGATAAGTAGAAAAGCTCACCCATACTTTCGAGCACGATGCATAAAATACAGTAGGATGCTTCCATATAAAAGGTGTAATAACAGATTTATAGTTTCTGTCCGGCCCTCATTTTCGCTGTATGAACATAAAGTGTCAAACAAAAGAGATTTAGAGTGCACGAAAATCCTTGGTAACAACGCGTCGTTATTGTTGCTTACGGCGAAAGCTTTTAAATAAAGAATATTATTAAAAAAAGAATAGTGTAATATTCAGGTTTAACGAACAACTGATTTTTTATGGATCGAGCAACGTGAAACAAAGAGCGCAATGGAAATATTAACGATTCATTGTTCTATAAAAATAGGATAGGATCTTGCAACGTATTAAGATGAGTAACGGAATAACGTTCTTATTGTAAACTCTGTATCCACTGAAAGGCATTGTTACATTCTAAGACTAATTATAGTCTTCGTCGTTTCGTTGAACTTTCGGAACAATAAAGAATTGAGAATAAAAAGGACATTAACCTTTTGAATTTTCCCATCTTTATGCATGCTTTTCTTTTGTTTCTTTCTTTTTTTTGTTTAATCCATTCTTATACTCGTCTCTTTAATACAAGTATGGAGAATTAAAATTTGGTAGTTCTTAAACACCAAGTCATTTAAATGTCTATCCTTAAATCGGAAAAAGTTTGTGACGAAAACTTTTTCTTCCTCAAGTTTTCTCGATAATCGATCGGAAACGGCGAAATTGAGAATTCGTGGAAAAAGCATCGACACCGGATGAAAATTTCTTCAGAAATATCTACAAGATGAAAAGCTAAGAGGGCATTATAAAGCGTTCGAAAAAGTCCGTCGATGACGGTATTTCACATTAAAATGGCATTCTATGTATTCGAGAAATTCATAGGAGTCTTGGTCGAACGAACAGAGAGAGGAACAAAAGCGCGTTAATGCCGCTTCACGACGATTATTATCGATCTCACCAACTGCACGAAGAAGTGCTATGTGTTGTACACCCTGATTACGGTTTTACTTTTTAATGAATTCTCCGCGAGGATCGAGTCAAATGCGTTTCACCTTTACTCTAGAAATGCAGTTTATATTTATGTGCAACCCTTGAATACAGAAACTTCATTTGCCCAAAAGAATTTCGATCGTTTAATCAGTTTCAGATGAAAAGTTTAAAAAGTACCTCTTTCTTTGATCAATGTACAAATTATTTTCCCCCAAATGACAGAGGATAATTTCTTAGTTTACCAGGGTTAATTAACCTCGAAGACAACGAATTGTATTTCTGAATATCTATTTCACGAAGGAACAATCCTTTTGCAGTGGTTGCGCATACAGTCAGAAAGCGAGTCTCACGAAATGCATAGACGCAATTCACACAAGGGGGTAGAAACGAGGGTCAGTCAAGTATTGAACCCGCAGCAGCGTTAGGGTGAAATTTCCAGACCCACCCTGTGGTCAATTTACAAGTTGTAAAAGCGAGTCGTGACATGCGAAACTGTTGTTTGTCATGTGACGAGGTCCCTAATTATTACAAGCAAAAGTTCAACAAGTACGGACGAAGGGAAAGGTTCTGTTTAAAAGCTTCGATTAAAATCGAGACGGTTTTATTTGTAATGTCAACGTTCGAAATAAATACGGAGAAAGATCGTGAATTAATTTTGCGTTAATCGAACTGTGACGTTAAAATTGCAAACGAATTATTGAAACGTGCAAACGCGACGATATATAATAATTCAAGCAGAAAATATACTTGTGTAAATTTCAGCGGGATTTCGAGAATTGCGCGTCGAAATCTGGGGAGGGGAAAAAATATATCCACGTTTGACCGAAGATTTGTGCAACTGTTAATTTACACAACGAAGTAGTAAAAGCCTGCAACGCACGCCCGGGAGCAACATTTTAAATACTTAACGCTGACCGAGTAATTTCAACAAGAAAGCTTCGAAAGCTTATTCCCTGGTTGCCAGCAGAATTTTCTACGAGATTATTACACAGTAACACTTATTTCTTCCTCCGTTTCTTCTTAGGCGAAGGGCGATTTGCATATATAATAAAATTCATGCTCCAGCAGAAATTACCGTATGCAAAATACTGTCGTACGGCATTTCTCTCGTATTTAAAACTTCTCTCTTTATTATTTAAAATTCTACTTTCGTATGTTATAATTCGAGCGGTGCATATAACATCGAAAACGATACTTCGATCGTTTCTTCTATATCGAACGGTCAGGAAACATGCATTATCGAAGGACAGCTTAAAAGCTACCTGGTGTTACATAGCAACGAGGCTTAGCGATCACGTTCTCGTTCTGTAAATCGTGTTCAACCTAACCGTTCTGTTATTTCACGAGCTCGATTAAACAAAACGTGTAATGTGAGCGTTCGCACGTGAGAGACCACACGAATCCTCTGCCACACGTTCACACACCGGAATAGAGTCGGTCGGGTCGTGAGGTGGGCAACATCAAAAATAAAGTCAAAGCGGCCGCGACGGTGGTGTCGTCGTGGCGTAAAAACCGGAGATTACGAGGCGCAGAGTGCGACGAAACCGTGATTCGACGGTGTAAAAACAATAACCAGAACGAAAGCGTGGGTGGGCGCGATTCAACAGGAGAGTCGTCAACACGTGTCCGTGTTCCCTTCCTCTTCGAGACTTTTCCTCGCTCACCTCAGTCCTCCTCCTCCACCTCTCGTCGCGACGTTTCTCGATCTCGAAACCAGCAGAATTCCATACGATGGCCGCGAGTTCTCCGGTTTCGTCTCTTGTAGAACTCGAACGAGTTCGAAATAAACCGTGAGGGTAAACGTTGGCTCCACCACCTACACACGTTGCCGGTCGGTCCGACACTGGTCGTACACTGACTACTTGCTGCGTGGCTTTGCAGCGGGAGCAGAACTCTCCCAGTGGGGGTAGTGGCAGGAAATGGGACGGGGGGAAACTGACGAACTGAAGGGTTAGAAAGAAAAGTATGCAAGAGAGAGAGAGAATTCGAGGGAAAGAAAAAAGTTATCCACCCCTCTCTGTACATAGTATTCCGGCAGATTGCATTTTCAGACGCATTTATTTAGCTCCCATGAAAACTCCAGAATTTATCACCCGGCTAAAATTGCCTTCTTTTTCTCTTAAGTAGGTGCGTTCGAGCTTCTGCAGAATAGTGATTCGCAATTTGAAAGTCTCTCGTATACAGACTCGTTTAGAAGGTTTATTTAAAAGGGACGAAGAAACGAGAACGTTTCGCTTTTTATGGAGAAATATCTCTATTGAATATTGTTGGTTATTAATAGTAGACTTTGTGGTGTACGTTTATTGATTTTAAACGTTTTACCATTTTATTTAACCACTTTTTCTTCTCCGCCGTTCGTTTAACGCTGAACTTGACACGTATGAAAATTATAAATATTTAACGTTTCATTTGGTAGGATTCTTCAGTTTCATAGACGAATCTTACAGCTATGCAATGCGGTCAAACATGCTGAAAATAAGTTGGCATTTCAAGATACAGCTGAAGTACAGGATCATTAAGTTCTACGATCCTAATATTAGATTGTTTAAATATTTCTAAGCAAAGATTTACACTCAACATGTGCAAGAAAAACGATGCGAAAACCGTGACGGAGAAATTCCTGCACAATTTTCTCGAGTGAAAACACCGACATTTCTAATCCTATAATTTGCAAATAGGAGATCGCGATACACCTGAATCAACATCGTAACTTCATTCGGCAATTGTTCTTTTCTCGTAGCTGCTTAAATGAGACGCCATTTGTTCACCAAAAAATGCTACCAACGATATCAACCAACCGCATCCTGCAATATCAACCAAATTCCACATGAATGAATATTGGTTTACAGTAACAGCTTCCCTGATGAATCTTCGTCGCGTTGTAGTCTCTTCGAATTTATTTCGATACCATGTCTCGCGAATACCCGATTGTTCTAAACGTACTAGAATTTCTTCAATTCGATTTTTGTACGGTGCATACTTGCCGAGATAGTATCCAGTTGGTGGTTTAGCGTAACACAGATTTTTGTTAACTTGTATTACCTCTTTACCTTTGCGCCTGTTATTATACATAATAGTATTTGCCTCTTTCAGCTCCATAAAGCACGTGACGTTCCTATGTTTTTCCAAATAACGAACACACTCCACCGTATTATTTATGCCTATCGCCTTCCTTTTTAACGCACGAAAAGTTTCATCGCCGCTAGTGAAAGTTAGGTTCATAAGTACATCGAGAACCACAGGAGTGAATCCTGATGCGTCCAACTGCTTGAAATTTTCGTATTTTACAGCAGTTCTTTCTTCTAGACTGTGCGTAGTCAGATCTGCGTACAAGTTCGTCGAGTATAAAGCTGAGACTAGCACAATGTTCAAGAATATAATTTTTTCACTTGTTCTCTTCGGTCTTATCGGTATGGACGTCGATATTATTAAAGCGAAAATTTTGATAGGCTTCCAGGTGTTGGAGCTGAATTTCATTAGAATCGATACCACCCAGAATATGAGAACTACGATCAAATTTATAACTATTCCGGTAACAGGTTGTAGATTGACTATTTCGTATTTGTATGTAATTGGTGTTACTGCACACCAGCTTTCAGAGCTTAGAGGTATAGTTTCCGCAGGTGTCGAATTTATATGTTCGGGAAAATAAGGCATCATCGGAATTACTATGTCGATCGATGAATTCAGTGTTAAGGCCCAGATTTCATTACCGTCCCTGTTGGGAACCAGTGCAATGGAAAAATTCATGGCACGAGCAAGTACTTTTAAAGCTTTTGCATCCGACCCATTATATATCACAGGATATCCTTCGGAATTTTTTGTCATCCAAATATGACCCAGACGTTCCACTATGTAAACTTTCAACGGATAACCGTAGAGATTTGTCATTTTATTTGGAAACCACTGCATGCTCGATTTGTACGGTTGTCGGTCGTAAACGTTCGTAAATGGATTATACTGGTGAACCTTTATGGCGATTTCGTGACTGTCAGATTTCGATACTTCTAAAATCATCACGTCGATAACCTGTCTCTGCCACATTTTTTTCAAAAACACCTCGAAACTGCAATTTTCCTCTTCCAATATGGTCAACAGTAGAACTTTTGGACGATTATTGTCGTGCACAATTACACGTATCATGTCGTCCATTTGTTTAACGTTTGGAAGATTTTTCGATACGTAAGCGTAGAAAATCAGCGTTCCGTGGGATGTACGAAAGGATGGTAATATTGCGGGAACAGAATCGTTCAAGGAAATGCAACTTGTTGGTAGAATACGAGACACGGTTTTGTACGTATCATCGATTACCTCCGAGTTTATTCCAAAAGGACTTTGAACTACAAACTGTACGTCCAAAAATGTCACCGTTTTAAGCAAATGTTCAATTGGCTGATTGATAGTTGCGAGGTGTTTTAAATAGTTCATTTGTTGAAGTGCCAGGAGGAATGTTGGTAGTATCATAGTAGTTCTCTTAAAATTCTGAAATTATGTAAATATTAAAATTTCTGTGCTTGTCAAGATAGAAATTTCTCATACTTACCAATTAGTCGACGATAATAAAACTGACACTGAACGTATCAGACAGGTAATTCTCAGTTGCGAAATTCAAGAAGCTCGATGAACTGCAAAACGACGAGTGCAAGCAAGAAGTTGCAACCGACTGAATGCAAAAGATGACCATCGTCCTAGTCACTCGTGGAAAAATTTCATTTATCCTAAGTGCAGTAATAATGTAGCAAACATAAATTACGCTTGCACTATATATAAAACAAGTTCGATTGCACAAATTTAATGGTGTGCCACTCATCGAGCGCTATTGCGCACTATTGGAAGTATCTCTTGACTGACTAGACTAGTTTATACGAAGGTATAGAGAACACATTTAATTAGCAAGTAATTTCTTACATTTCCTTCGAATCCTTCGCGTACTATCGTAAACAGCATTAATTTCTATTGTTCGTCGATTAATTAGGTGAAATTCCTATTTAACTCAATTATTATATTAAAGCCTTGATGTTATTAAATGGGACGCGAGGTAATGAAGGATTTTAAAATTGAAAGGGTGCAGGCCAAAGGCAAAAAGAGTGGAACAATGCAGTGATGTCTTCTCTACCTTTGTATTATTAAATTGCATGTTATAATCATTTCGTTTCCTTTCATATCTTTACGGCTAGGTTTTTTCTTTTCTTTTCCTTTTTGTCATATTTTCACGGAAAGATTTTTCCACGAAGGTACAACAGAGAAAGGTGATTTCGAAGAAGAGTTCACGACGAGTTAAGCAGTAATCTTTGCGAAGGATAAATGTTTCTCGTTCAGAAACATTCCCTTGCTCTTGAACGAAAATTATTTCAATGGAGCCGAAGGATTCTTTCAATAATGAATTTCACTTGCACACAGCATGTAGGCGGAATATTCAATTAGCTCTGACAGTATCTTCCATTTACCGGTAATTTGCACGCCCAATGTAAATTTTATTGACCATAGCCTAGTAACGCGCAAATCATCCTTGACGATGCATTACCCTCCGCAATTATGATAATTTTATTAACCGCAATCATTAAACTTCTTGAAACAGCTTATATCTTGAAATTGTTTGCTTCTAATTATGCAAAACGAATGCAAGGTCAGCAGCGTGGAAAACTGAGGAAACCGATAAAGAAAACCTGCGGCTTATTAAGTTAAGAAGAAACATTGTTCGCCTGTTCGCGACTTCTTATTATTTTCTCATTACCGTTCTCCTCCGTTTCAAATTGTTACCGACCCCGTTGGTATTTAAATTTTCCACGATAATTCAACGTTCTTCCACTTCTTTTCATTGATAATTACCGATAGAACAATGCGCAAGGTAAAAATAAACACTGAACGCTTCTTCTTCGAGTAATTATTAGTCATTTATTATTTATATTTTATTCATAACTGAATATAAGTTACATATGAGTGTGTAAAACATACGAAAAGAGGAGATATATCGATATTTCAATCTTTACATTTATTAAGCGTATAGAAACATGTTGCCATTGCTTGTGTTCGTGAAATTTTCGAAGTCTTAAAGAGAATTTCAAGCAACAATGTGACAATAATTGTGCATTATATATGTATATTGTTGCGCGGTCATCGCGAGTAGGACGGACATCGTTGAAAAAAGAAAAACAAAAAAAAAGTAATATTCGACTTATTCGAGTATATATTTGTGACGCGTAGAGAAATGAGGATGACGATAAACAATAAATGTGTATAAATTACGTATACAGCAGTAACATTGAAATAAACTTATTAAATATACAGAAATTTGGCGATCTTGAAAGCACAGCGGAATAGTTCGCGAGCAGCAACGTTCAATGTTTGGAATTATCTTATTTAGCAATTATGATAATTATTATCTCGTGTGTTGTTTAAACGCCGAGATATATTGTGCGTCGTTCGTGAATAACGAACGTCAATCCGGCTGTTCTCCTTATTTTCTTACGAAGACTAGAGAGAAGCATAGAAGAAGAACTAGGACGAAATTGGGAATATAAGCCGCGGCTCCATTTCCGTTCCAACAAACGTTCAAGCTGCAATGCTTCAAGACTGGATTGAACTTTTGCTTGATGTATTCCCAATCGCAAAGGCCCACGTCACATCCGTCTAGCAGGACTAGCTTCTCAGCCAAGTAAAACATTACTTTGTTTGGTTGATTGATACTGTCGCATCTGCGAATAAAAATAGAAACACTTTGTGACCGTGTGTAGTTCATTTTAGCCAGAGTTTTGCAATTTTATAAATAATTCCTATCTCTCTGGTTTCACCACGCGATCCCCTAGTCGATATTGATTAATACCAGAAAAATTGAAAGAAAAAACAGATTTGTTTTATTTGCGTTTACTTCGTGTGAGAAAGTATTCTTACTTGTAAAATGTAGCGATAAGGTTCGCGGCGATTGGCGATATAAAAGAAGTTCGCCACTGACGTTTCGCCATATGCTTGTAATTAAAAGCCGTCAGCTGCATTTGGTCCTTGTTAATATTCAGTGTGGTCAGGAGATTTTGCAAGCTTACAATGTCGCTAAAGTAAAATATACCTTTCGGTTCGTTCGAGTCTGTGTCCTGTTCCATTTTCCTAAAATATTCGAAAAGACCATTGATATACATGTAACAAAGAAGAAAACAGTAGCATTGCATAATTGTAATTAGATATTACACAGTGGGTAACAATTTCATTAAAAGGGCAAGAAAATCAAATTACCAAAAGTGATTCATCATGTCTTGCAAAAGTGTACATCCTAGCTGCGCATTGATTTCACGTCCATATCCGGCTTTGTAATAATAGTAGAGATCTTCGCGATATTCTAGCACACGAAGTTCTTCTTTGCTGAAAACAGCACACCAAGGAGAAAGTTTCGTCACTGTCCAAGCCTTTTCGTAACGGCATATATCGTATATCGTTAGAATTAACTCTGAAAAATTGTATATCCGATAATTAATCACGACTTGAGACGTTTGAAATTTCACCTTACCTTTCGGAACATCGTACAAAAATCCAAGTCTTCGACTGACATTTTGCACGAGATTCTGAAATTCTGGTCCTTCCTCGAAACTTATCACCTCCTGAATGGAGGCATTTGTATGCTCGTTGTCCCATACGTTGCAAGATTTGTACGTCTGATAAAGATAAATTTCAGAAATACCTGTCTTCTTTAAAAAAAGAAGAAAAAGAAAGAAATAATTACCGTGAGCAAAGTGTCGTTTTCAGGAACTTCCTCTACCTGTACCGCATTTCTGTCTTCAAACAATCCCTCCATGAACGCGAACAAACTATTACGAATATGTGTTGTTTTCATCTGAAACGAATTTCGTTCGATTTAATCAAATTCGTCATTATCCTTCGTAGCCTCGATCGTTATAAAACATATACCACGTATTTATCCTCCGTTAAGTTCACAACTCTCGAGCTGAGAAGCTCCGGAAAATTGCTATGCAATCGTCTACCGAGCAATCTCATATCTTCCACACCTTGCGGTGTCAAAACTTCCGCTCTTTCGATTCTCAGGTACGAGCTCGGTGTCCATCGTTTTAAATTTTCCAAATCTCTGTTGCACATGTGACCGTCTGCGGGAAAGATAATCGACGAAGGACATATGATTAATTACAAACTCTCCGTAACCATATTACCAAGTTGCACAGTTTAGAGAGAGGGAGAGAGGGAAGGGAACGATTTGTTAACCGTGGAAACTGAATTTAACTTTTAGGAGAGATTAACGATTCGCGATAGGGCGCGTTCCAATTTAGCATAGACGTGTTTATTCCTGGAATCAATAAATCTACGTGGTAACTGTTGGATATGTGACTATTGATCAACATGTAAAACGACGCGCGGCAAAGATCGATATGTAAAAGTGTCAATGACCTGAATTAACGTCTAACTGGTTTACTTGCGCCTGCTTTAAACGGGAGCACCGTTTTCTCAGAACTCTTTTCCACCGAACAATAAAACACATTTAGGCATAATTCAATTGAATTTTCATTCGGACTCCTTTCTTTTTGGTATTATCGCTGTTAATTTATTCGAATAAAGTAATACCAATTGTACTCACTGTTCCGTGTTTCATGATTGTTAATTATGTGACTCTGAAGTTCCGTTAACGTAAGCATCTGGATTATTTCTGCTTCTGATGCGCATTGTGTCCCATGTGTAGCAAGCATCCAAACTTGTTTCGCCTTGCAATCTACGGGATAATGAAATTGTTCAAAGGCTTTTACATTGAATATTACAGCTGGTACATGTCACTTTGACGAGGTAATGGTATACTCACTAGGTACATCTTGAAACCGTGTTTTTCCAGCATGAACAAAATGATAGGCGGTTTTAGTGGCCATGTAGAGATACGGGTCGTCTTCGTCCACGAAACAGTAGTCGACGTCACGTGTGTAAACGTGACTTATTAAGAAAAGCAGGAATAACACGGATGCGTTCATTTTAAATGTCCCCGCTGTTTAATCTGCAAAGAGCGAAAGAAACGGTGGTTGCCAATCAAACGTGAATTTTGTACCTACGCTATTTTCTTCTTTTTTCTACATATCTTTAGTGTCTCGTTATTTTTGTCAGTGAAACTTCGCATCGTAACTCACGGGATTCATAAACCGCTTTGTTTCGTTGAAATACAGCAAGCAGTAAACCTACATTTTCCTGTGCTGATGTCACATGTTACTTTACTACCAACTTTATAAATTGCAATCAACCATACGTAAAATGAACCTTATGCAACCAGGCAGGATATTTATTCATTTTTCAGATTCCACGGTTAAGTGAAAAAAAAAAAAAGAAGGAAATAAGCAGGGAATTATCCTTGCGTTCCATGAGACTTATATAATCGGTAACATGGTTTCGATACTAATCGATTCAAACATGTAGCAGACTTCTGCCTTGAAAAATTAAAAAAGGAAAACTACGAATTGTTATTGCTCGGATCAACGTACTCGTAAATTCTTTTTTCGCCTATTTGTTTCGGTTACGTATCCTGTTTTTTGCTGTTGAAAAAGGAAAAAGTTTGTACTATCTGTGCTTGGAACGGATATTCGCGCATCAAGGTTAAGGATAAATGTAAAACATGCACGTGAGTGGGAAAGTTAAGTTCTGTTCACGCATTACGCGTACAAGCGGTTGTATTGCATAATTTGCGAGCAAGAAACAGGTTTTGCTGGAGTCCGAGACTTCACTAATTTTACCACGTGATTTCTAATTCTGCGACTAATTTTCCAGTGCAACAGAGGTTCTCCTCTTCTCGAGATTTATATTTAGAATTAACACCTGGATTTCTTAATTATTAACGTCTCGATTTTTGTTAAACATCATGTTTCACGTTTCAGTGTTGTTTCGATAAGCAACGAGTAAAACTTCACTTTCACCAGCGAAGATAGATTTAGTAAACTGGTGAATCTACGTGAAAAAAATCAGTCGACGATTTTTTAATCCTTGAAAAAATTCTTCGAAGATTCTTAGCAATGAAACGTGTAAGAAAATTCGATTTAAATTCGACAATTATATTTGCACTTGAATGACAATTATATTTCATTCCCTGCATTACCGTCGCTTAATATAACATTAGAGAAGCTCTTAAAATAAAATTCATTAGGAATCATTAAGAACCTATGAAGGCGGGATGATGTTAAAGGAGTAATTCAAGAATGAGTAAGGTTGACGATAACGTAATTGGCAGTTGCTCGATTAGCGAAACCTTCTTTCAGTCTAATAAGTCTACTTGGCCTACTTATTGTTAACCACTTCACGTTTAGATTTTTTGCAAATTTACCGTCGAAAAATGCACAATTATTCTTTTTTTGCATAAATTCACATTCTGTGGTTATTGTAACAAAGTACTTTTACTGAAATAGAGTCACAAAAGCGAAAGATGGAGTGTATAAGTTTCGAGTATTAAAATTTATTAAAAAATAACAAGAAAGAGAAGAAAATAAGACTCAAAACTATAGAAAGAGAGACACTGCAAGAAAGAAGGTTACTGAACGCTGTTTACTCAAAGACCAAAGAGATGTCGGCTTAAAGATTGTGTGTATAGTATTAAAAAGGCAGTACATATGTTTTAGTACACGATACCATAGCTTCGATTGATAAATACGAAGAGTAAGAAAACTGCTGAACGGCGACTACATCGGTTGCACTCGCGACTGTTACAAGCTTGCACAAATTAAACGTTTCGGCCTGTCCGTATATGTCACAAGAGTCTCCATTAAGTGGTTAATGTCTTGTGTCCGCAAGTGCCAAGTGTCGTGTATGTAAGTCTCTTACCAATCTGATTCTTCCCGAAAACCTCGACAAAACTACGTTAAATTTACCCCTCCGCTACACTATCTCTTCTGGCAGATTCGAACCGAAAATAATTCCTATCGCGTTAAAGTGCAAACGAATAAAGTAACTTTCGCGGACGACACGAATTTGTTGTCGCACTTTAATTTCCGCAAGTGTCACAAGTTTAACACTCGTCGCTAATTTAATTGTTAACTATTTATTCACCTGTAACGTGCACCGTTACAGAAAAAGAACAAAACAATCTACTCTCGTTCGATAAATAACGACCGCCTGTAATTTGTATAATACTTGATAATTGGGAACAAAAGTAGGACGTCAACGTCACGCTTCGCGAACTCTACTACCACCATTCAACGATTTAATTATTCACAGACGAGTTTATTTATTCAAATGAAATTCCTCCCAGATATGTAAGCGGAATTCCATCGAAAGTTGAATGAAATAAATTTCGTTTCGGTGTTTCATCCGTGCCGCTTTCACGACCTACCGCAAACACTGCTTTTTCGCCTAACGAAATGTTTCATCGATGCAACTTTTTCCCAATGAAAAGTATCCAAGAGAAATTTTGCTATCTTCTTACGAGAACAAAAAATGGTAACACGCAAAAAAAAAAAGAAAGGAAGAATGATAATTAGGGCAATGAAAGTAGGGTAACGATGTACAGTTGAAATTGCAATTATTCTTGGAACATTTTTGCGAAAATTCGTGTAAAATTGTGAAAGTATCTGGTATAAAGTGAAAAAATGTCATCTTTGCGAAGAAATTACCGTGATCTTTAGAGCCGACGTCCAAACTTCACGCCCTGTTTAGGCACATTAAATCGAGTACAGTTCCCTAGAAAAACCTGGAAAGAGAGAGTGCGACCGATAGTAGTACTTTTCACTTTTTCTCGATCGTTGAAGTGCCTTGCCCTCTTCTTCGCCGAATTCCAAGTAAACGAGATCCTATCAATATTTGATAGACACTTTGACACAATCGATCCTTCGATGGAAATTACGATCGTTCTTTTCCCATTACGATTTTTCAAACTGAAAATTACACAAGAACAGTTCGAAATGATTTACTTTAAACAGTCAATTTTCACCTACTATCAACAAGTTGTCATCTCTCTCTTTTTCTTTTTTTTTTTAATTCCTTATACAGAACTCGCGCAGACAGAATCTGAAAAAGCTTCACAATCGTTCGAAGGATTGATCTTTCTGTAGTAAGTTTCGAAGATTTCTTTCGTAACTCGGAGAATATACCGATGGAAACACTCTGGGCACTGTAACACCGCTTTAAAATACAAGTGAACTGTGAAAAGAACGTCGTTTTGCACGTACTTGTTGCCGATTGCGACCACCTTTCGTGGCGGCAGCTCGTGTGGCACTGCCGTAAGGTCGTCGAGCTTCGTTGCTCTTAGCGTATACTGTGTAAAAGTCGTATAGTTTCAGCGATAGACCCTGCGAATAGTACATTACGGTTTCTAGCCTTTGATCCTTCGCTGGGGTGACGTAGTGTTTCATACGTTCCATCAAATTGGAAAGATTCGTTACTTTGAGCAAGCGCAATCGATAAGAAGTTGGGGGCAACAGAATTCCCCAAGTTCCGTCCAAATGCCCGCTTATAATATTTTTCTAGCAGTACAGAAACATAAGTACAAATAAGAAAATTTTCTAATCGAAAAAATGTTTTTAACACGATTTTTAATTAGCCCGATATGGAACAGCCTTAATACATATGGAAAATCAGGTTTTGTGTACCATGATTACTTTTGACACTTTGAACAAGTGTGAGAATAATGTAGATTTCTCGAAGATGTTTTTAAGGCAGTATTTTAAACGTTGGACTATTATCCGTTGCAACATTTAAATAAGTACACATCCCATTTGTGACCACAATTCGTCACGGTAGTTCAGGTGGCACTGACATAAGGTCGTCAAGCTTCGTTGCTTCGTATCTGTAGTCTATACATTTTGTACTCTGTTAAAACGGTAAAATAGTTAGCGAGATTACAATGCAACGACAAAACGTTCGAATATTTTTCGGTCGAGTAAAGTTTATTGAATAAAATTGAATAATGTGTATAAAATACATATTTAAGTACATCGTTTTGCTAATTGAATTTTTAAGTATCGTATAAATTATACTAGAGTGTAGAAACGACAGGCATTAGATGGGCGTGAACTTGAAGTGAAAATGTGGACGAAAGGGAAAATGCGTATTCCGATGATAGTCTCAGGTAAATCTCGGTAAATTTTTAGGTGTCGCAATGTGTGAACATATCGTTCATCACGCTAGCTTATGTGACAGTAATATAAGGTCGCTCGGCTTCGTTGCTTCGGAAATATACGTACAGGTTGTCATACTGTAATTTCTTCCACATGATTCCTGACAAAGGCACATCTGATATGCTTCGTAATCACTTCAACAGAATCACTTTTACGATTATCCTGTTTCACCTTCTATTTTCTTGCGTAATTTTCATGATTTATGCGACAAGTTTAAAATTCAAATTGCTGTTATTTCTTGCAAAAATCAACGTTACAGTTGAACGCGTTAGGTCCCATTTTCTCCTTCAGATATTCCCAATCGCATACGCCCATTTCACAGCCTTCGTAATCCACAGGTTTCTCGTTTAAGTAAAATCTCACCTTATTAGAGGAATCACATCTGAAATGATAATGCAAGAATTAAAATGATCGTTAATTTTTCGTTAAAGAGACTGCTAGGAATGCTAGATCGTAAGAATGATTGTATTGGCAGCGTGGCTTAACCCTTTTAATGCGTAACGTGGGCGACTGATTGTAAATTTTGAACCACGGCTGGACAATTTTTTATTCTCGCCGTGTCGTTTTAAAATTCGGTTTATTGAATTAAAGTGGAAGCGCGTAAAGGATAGAATTAAGTGTTAAATTAAGGTGGAAGTGCACCGAAAGGCTCCAAATAGTATAGCGCGAGGAAATTTTCAAAACGCCTAAAGGCGCCAATAGTAACGAAAGGGTTAAAGCCACAGTCAAGGCGTATCGTAAACGAAAAGTCTCGTGCCGGTCTCTAGGAACAGGCGTGGCAATTAACGTGTTAAAAACCATAGCTATATGAACGAAGAATATTCGGGTTCGAGCGATAGAAGTGTGAGTGATAAGCGCTTATCGAAGGGTGCGCCACTGCCGAAAAGTTCGGTGGACGTGGCTGGATGAGTTTTCGAAATGTCCGCGAAGAGTGAAAGAACTAGAGAAATCGAGAAAGAGAGAATGAGTGAACGAAAGAAATATCGTTACAGCGAGAGTCATTGAGAGAGAGATCATCAGAGAGCGCGAATTATAGAGTATCGAGAGTCGAGTAGAGTTAAGAGTTAAAGGGTTAAGTGTTAGTCTATAATACGAATTCAAAAATAATCGTAAACATACTTGTAAAAAACTGCCGCAAGATTTGCAGCGAATGGTACAAGACGAGAAGTATTCCACTTTCTGTTTTCCATATCTTCGAAATTCGAAGCTGTCGGAGGTGTCGAGTCTTTCGCAATTCCCATCGATGTTAAAAGCAATTGAACCGTGGCACTATGTGCGAAGTAAAAAATACCTTGCGGTTCTTCCTTCGATTCTCCATTTTCTAACTTCCTGAAATGCCGGCAGAAAAAGGATGGAAGCATACCAATTACATTTCTAGTACTTGTGCCAACACTTACGTGAAATGATTAAACATATCCTGCAACGGTGGACATCCCACCGCAGAGCTCATCTTTTCACCGTAACTGGACCGATAGTAATAATGAAGATCGCTCTCGTATTCGAATATTCTCATCTCGTCCTTTGTAAAAGCAGCGCACCAAGGAGAACGTTTATCGATGTACCAAGCATTTTCAAAAGTACACGCGGTGTATATGATCAGAACGTCGTCTAAATCAAATTGATTCGTGGATGAAAATTAATACGCAGCAAGTTTGTTCGGAACTTTTCTGCAGTGACAATTTTTATACCTAACGAGAGATTGTCTGCAAAACCGAGTCGCCGACTGACGTTACCAATTACTTGATTGAACTCTGTGCCATTTATGAAATTGTTGACTTCGACGGCTGTCGATGAATTCTTCATATCTTCCAACCATGGTTTGCAAGTCTTATAAACCTAAAAGTGACAGATAATAAAAAAGTATACTGTAATCGTCGATGATTAATACGTTTTTACGAACCTTCAATAACGTGTCTTCAGAAGTTGGCACTACTTCCGTGTTATCAATGGTCGCATTACCAAAGGCGCCATTGATGAAATGATTCATGCTGGCTATTGTTCGTTGCGTGTTCGTTGCTCTGAACTATGTGAAAATCGAGAGAGAAAAGTTGGATCAACTTCGAAAAGTATACGTTTCATTTGATGAGCTTACTTTGTATCTGTTTTCCAAGGTATCGTCTGGTTCGGATTGCAAAAGTTGGGGGAAGTAATGTTTGAATCGTGCACCAAGTGATAGCAATTCATTTTCACCTTGTTTCGCTAAGAACTTGTGCTTACTTTTGTCCAGACCTGACTCTATCTCCCATGTCTGTAGTTTTTGCAAGTCCTTCAGGCATAATTCACCGTCTAATGAGAGATATTAGAAATGATAGAAAAGTGAAAGACAATGTTGCATTGATAATACAGAAAAGAGGTGAATCCAAAGCCTCGAAGAATTTGTAGATTAGTGAAAGAAAAAATTCTCGAGAAAATAATACTTTAATTTCATTGTTTATCTTTCACTGTGATAATCTCGCTAAATCTGATAATACGATATACACCTGATCAGCAATACAGGTACTTTGCAGTGATATCTATTAGACGTAGACTCAAGTGAGATCGTATGTATGTAAGTGCACACGTATTCAGAAATAATGCTTCGTATGAAAAGAAAATGTAACTTTACACTTTCGACTTAATTTCTCACGCAGATTCACCCTTTTTTTTTTGGTGACACTCTGTACGTGTACACACGTACACACGAATTTTCTAAAATTTTACTTACGTTTATCTTTCTTATGATTGGCGATGATTTTACGTTGAAGTTTGGGCAACTTTTTTTGCATTTTTTTGATCTCATCTTTCCCGGGGTAACGAGTTCCATGCCTAATCAGCATCCAGATTTGCACTGGCTCGCAATCTACGCAGGGCAAACCGTAACGAAAATAAACGAAAAATATGTCACACCTTAAAATCACGTTAACGTTACAATTTGTCAAATATACAATCTCGTGACTATAAATTAGCAATCTGTCAACACTTACTTGACACAGTGGTATTTTTGACGAGACCGTGTGAAAAGTGATAGCCCGTTTTCGTACCAGCCTGCAGATAGGGATGCTCGTCATCGGCGTAACAATAATCAGCTTCATCGTCGCTTAAAACAAATCGACTGTTCAAGCAAAAAATTGCAATGAGAATCGCGAAAATTTTCACGTCGAACATTTTCCAAGTCGAATCTCTCGTAAAATGTACGCTGTCTCTGTAACAACAAGTGCAATTGTAAGTTCGAAAAAGAAGGCGTTCGACGATAAATATGCACATGAAATTATTAGCCAAGATGTGAATTACTGAATAAAAACGGATAAAAGTGTGTTTAGCAATTGAAGATAGAGCAAGAAGATTCGACGAAATCCATTGTGAGGTGAACGATACGATGTGAGTTACGTATCTCGAAGGCAGTACTTACTTGTGATTGTCGAACGATTATTTGAGCACTGCTACTCACCACTGTCGGCCAATAAAATGTTATTAACTGTGCGTTCTCTTCTTTTATAGGAACGAACTACCGAGCCTGCGTCGTATCAGTACCCGCAGGCATTAATACTTAATGGGAAGGCGATTTAGCATTTTCGAACGAATATTAGAATTTCTAATGAGCGAAGGTGTAGTCTCGTGTGTAGAAAGGAAGCAGTGTATTTACACCTGTGTATTGGATAATTAAATGTCGGTTGTGTGAACTTGTAGAAGGACGAAATATTTTCGATAACCGGTTTTGTCCTATAGTTTCTCTACGATAGGATAGCTTGAATTTGAACGGAAGTTTGTGTACATTAAACATTTCAAACTCGTTGGGTAAATAGTATTTGTTCGATAGAACAAGGAACAAATCAGAAATTCTTCAGTTTAGCGCGATAAGAAATTAATAATTATTGTAAATTCATTTATTACACACACACAATTCTATAGAAAATTTGTAACGTTGTAGATGTAGCTCTTTGACACCGAATTTGCTTCTTTTTCATTGATTGATCGATCGATCATGTGAATATTCGATGGTCAACCACATCCTTGTTTCTTTATCGATTTATACTATTTGTATTCCTGAATGAACTGTATTTATTTTTTATTGGAGAGCTAAGAATGGAATGGATTTCTCTGAGAGATTTATCTTTTTATCAATTTTAATATATGCTTTGTGTAAAATTTATAAAGAATGTTACAATGCATTAATATACGTTATACATAAAAAAAATTTTTATCGTCGATTTTTTCAAAATGTTATTTAATACAACAAGTTTCTTGGTTCTTCTGATAACCAACACACGGTTCAAACGTGAGGCTATAACCGTATGTGGGTTTTGACGTATGCCCAATAATCTGTACATTATCAGAATACAATTTGAAAATCCACGACAATGGGAACATAAATAAAGATCTTCGATCTTGTTGTCGATAGGAGTACAATAATAACTGTTCCTCCTTTAGAAATAATGTGGGAAATAGAAAGCGATAAATAGTAATGATTAGTCAGTGTAAATGACCAGAAAAGATAAACGAATGCACATGCGTACACCTGTTGATTCTTGTTATTACCATATGTTACGTTCAATATTTTCCACTAGCTGTTATTGAACACATGAAAAAACGTGTGATCTGTTCAAGGTATGCAGAACAGTCTCAAGGTTTTCATTTGTTCGGCAATACGCATAATTACGTGAAACGAATGACAAAATTTATTCGTAGTAAAGTCCAAATACACAACAGTAAGCATGAAATGTTCGAGCTTCGTACGCGAATGTAGAGTAATTGTCTTTCTCTGGATCCCAAAGAAATCCCATAGACGATTGTATAGATTGGCTTGCTTTCTCTATGATGGTCACCTTAACTACAATTTTATACCTAAAAAATTTAATCGATTAAAGTGTAAAATTAAAATAGTTAAATTTAAAAAATTGATCACCTGTCGAAGTTCAATTTTTTTATTCTTTCTCTAATATCCGTCGCTACTTTTTCGCAAACTTTTGGAGATTCTATGGCATCGTAAGAGATATTTTCTAGATTAGCAATCATCGCCATCTTCACGATCTTATCCACTGGATCTACCTTAAAAGGATCAGAAGCATCTAAACGATAAGTGTTCTGAAATTTCTGTGCCTGCAATAGTAGAAATATTAAAACTGACAAAAGCTGTTATCAATACGTTCAAGTGTTATGAAAGCTTGTAACAAGAAAAGTTAAAGAAATCGTTATGTAAAAAGAAATGAGATTACGATAAGAACGTGCGTCTTATGTGAAATAAATTAAATAAAAGAGAAATGTAAAATATTACATAAAATTTTTGTATAAATTGTTATTTTCTATCGTTTTTAACTAGATGAACAATATATCTA